GGTGGATATCTGGTTAGATTGCCAAGTTTTTTTCTAAAGAAATGCTACATTGTGAAATTTTGATAAAAAAATCAAGGGTAAAGTAGTCTTTTTAATATTTTCATTATAAATTCCTAACAGTTGTCCATTGTCAGAAATGTCTAGGGTACTTTAAGGCTATGTTTGGTTTGAAGGAAAAGGTAGGGCAAGGAATTGTAAAGGTTTTCCCACCTTTCCCTTCCTTTTCCTACCTTTTCCTTCAAACCAAACACAGCCTAAGTAATTTCTTATACAGTAGGGTAGGTTTGTGTCACTTTGCTAAACTATATGGATAGTTTAAGTATTTAATTGTATGATTTAAAGTCTAAATCCTTAAATTTCTATCCCAAACCAATGGCAATATGCCACACCAACTTGTTTTCCTCATTTTAAAATTAAAGTGATTTTTTGAATGATGTGGCAGATTGCTATTGGTTAGGACAGACTATGTGATTTCGATAAACCTTAACCTTAAATTTTAAATTATACACACTTAAACCTTAAAAACTAAATTCATAAACCTTAAATTAAATTCATTGTATAAAATACCTTTGTTTGGATGGATGTCCTCCAACGGGATAGGAGCAAAGCATGCCCATAAGTATCTCCTAACTCTCATTAGATTATGAGGTTCAACTATTATGATTTTGTTTGTGGTTTTAAAATAATTTCAATCCAATGGAGCCAAGTATGCCCATTGTAGTCCCAGTTTTCAACTAGACATGATTTTTTTATTTTTTTTTGGTTCCCCATGTGCGGGCTTAGGTAGAAAAAACCACTTCTGCACTGATTACATTGGTCAACATAAAAATGTTTCAGGAATTCAGATATAAACAAACAATAGTACTAGATACAACCTTCATAACCATAACTGTCTTTGGTTTTTCTTGTAGTCCAAATCCGAGCAACATATAAAGAAGAGAAAAGGGAATGAACTAAGGTGAGTAGAGGGAGGGGTGGAGCTAGTAAATTTTTATGAGGGGATCAAAACATAAAATGAATTGCAGAGTAGGGGGAAAAGTGAATATAGATGGACCAATGGGGCAACCATTAGGGTGGGGAGCGGGGGAGGAGGAAAATATATATACATATATAAAAGTGAGGATTTTTGGGCCAAGGGGACATGGCTCCCCTAGGTCCCCCTGGCTCCACCCCTGAGTAGATGAACTAAGTTGCTTTCTAATACTTGCAATAAAGCAAAGAGTTTTAAGATTATGAGCCCTTTGATACTTAATAATTAGGTTCCATTCGCACAATGACCATTTTAACCATAAAAATCCATTATTAAAAGGGGCATTTTTGTCCCATTCAAGTGTTGGCAACTTTTCCCCCAAGTGGGAAAGTTATTTATCCACCAAGAAAATAAACTTTCCTTAATCCTCACATAAATCTTAGAAAAGAACATGAGATTTTTTGTCAATAGGAATCAAAATCCCATTAACTAACTTTCCCCCCTCTCAAAATCCAGAAAAAGAACACTCCCTTAGACGATGGATCTTCAGACTAAGTAAATGAAGATAGTTGGTGAGGAAAGCAAGGCAATAAACTAAGAGAGTCCTATTGTGTGTACATTTTTTTTTTGGGGGGGTTGCCACTTGCCATGCCTATATATAGAGGAGGTGTTGTATTCGCTAAAGAGTCCCATTCTTGCAAGGAGATGGCCGTCACAAGGCTAGTTTGAGCTTCTCAATACCTCGTTCTCCATCTGGTTGTGGTTTTTGGGCGGTAGAGTCAAGCTAGTTTGTTTGATGCCCAAGCTGATTCAAATGACCAAGAAGCTAATTGGTTCCTTCCAAGATACACGTCAGCACAGACTTGTGTTGTACCCACTATTTTCAAAATCGGACCGGACTGGACGGTTGGACCAAAAAAACCAAGAACCGGTCACTTGACCGGTTCTGTTTTCCTCCAAAATCGCTTTTTCCTCCAAAACTGTTGATTTTAGTCAGCAAACCGTTGAACTGGCCGGTTAACCATTCGAACCGGTAACCGGACCCTTGATCGGTTCGGTCACTGGTTCATTTTTAAAAACCATGGTTGTACCTATGGACCTCATTAATTTTAACCGGTGGTCCTTGTTAAAAATAGTAGGTGTTTGGCATTGATGTTGTTGCTTCGAAGATGTTTTATGAGAAAACGGTGTTGTATGCATAAGGGCCTGCCATGTAGGCTGTTTTTTGGGAAAACAGCATTGGTTTTGTTTGGTACCGGTGTTGTATAACCATTTTCAGCATTGATCTATATTATCCAACGCCCAAGATGATGCCACGTCATTACATCGTTGGCAGCAACAGATTATTTATTTATTTATTATAAAACATTGAATTTGGCATTTCTTCAGACCACACTTTTCCGATTTTAAGGCATGGTTTAGAGCAACGTTTTTTTTTTTTTGAAAAAATGATGTCAAATAAGAGTTCATTTTCTAAAGCACCTCCTTTTTTTTTCTAACATGATACCAATGTAGCGTCGTTTTCTCGAAAAATGATTAAATGCCGCCATAATAAATTAATCAATGTCACATCTTCAGGGTATAAATATTAAATAAAATATTATATATTTAATATATTATATAAGCATAAGTATTAAATCTTAAATAAAACAATAAATGTTTTGGACCCATTTTTCTTCATAAAGTGGGGTATTAATTATGAACAAAATTGATTAAAATCTTAAATCAAATTGTAACCTATTAAAAATCCTTTTATAAAAAATCAAATAAAAACCTAATATTAAATTATAATATAGATAATGGGTGCCAAATAAAAACAGGTCATTTTTTCAAAAGCAAAAGTTCAAATTAGTAACCCCGGACATAGTACAGGGTCATTATCTATTATTTTTAATCTAGGGAAAATGTATGACGTGGAAAAGACATGGTATGGGAAGTGTTTTGACCAATCAAAACCCACTCATGAATTTTGATAAATAACCCTTGATGACTACTATGTTTATGATTCCAATTGATTGGTTAGAAGTTTTTCAGATATCATATCTTTTTCATATCAGTCCAACCCATTAATATATTAGTTTGATTTTTGGTTTAATTTGGTTGAAACTTTTAGTCAAATCAAACCAAAACCGAAAACCAAAAAGTGTGAAAAAATTGAAATCGAATTGAACGGAACTATTTCAGTTTGCTTCATTTGGTTTGAGGTTAAATATCCGGAGTTGAGTACATGCTACTGCCATAAATCTTCCTTCCCCTGTATTTGTATTTTACCTAGCGACTCAAGTATGCAACTTTTATTTTTTTAAGGCTGTGTTTGGAATCAATGTAAAACCTCATAGGTGTAAAAGTACATCAATGTTATTTTACACCGAATCGTAAAAAGGCTTTGAAAAGCGTAGAGTTTTATATCGCTTTTGTTGATGTAATATTTACATCATAATCGATGTAAAACTTTACTCTTGATGAGATTTTATATCGATTTATAATGTAAAACTCCACTCTATCCAAATGCCAATAAATCTAAACCAGAGTAAAGCTTTATGTTGATCTTGATTTACACTGACAAAACTGAATGTAAATATTTACATTAATCTTAGTTTACATCACTTCCGAACGCAGCCTAAGGGTAACGAGTGGATGAAATGTAGGAAGCACTTGGTGGCCGGTGCTATCGAAGAACAAAATGTTTCACGACATTCCAATATTCGAACAACAGTTAAGGGCAAAAACATTGTTCATCTTCTTCCTCTTGCAATCCATTCAATGGCGCCGCCATTGCAACGCCTCCACCTATCTCCGCCTCTGCCTTCGGCAACGGTGCTAGAGGTGGGTGGCGGTGGTGCTGGTGGTCATTCCTCTGCCCAACGCTGCTGCCTCCACCTCCGTCTCCGGCAATGTTGTCGGAGGTGGGCAAAGACAAAGGCGGCAACGACAGCGTTAGTGGTCATTCCTCTGCCCTACGTCGCCACCTCCATCCACCAGCACCGCTGCCGCCTCTGCCTCCACCCACCTCCGCCACCACCTCCGACAACGTGGCCGAAGACGGAGGCGGAGGTGGCGGCGTTGGGCAGAGGAATGACCACCAGTGCTGCCGTTGTTGCCTCTGCCTCCGCCCACCTCCGGCAATGTTGTTGGAGGTGGAGGTGGCGGAGATAGGTGAAGGCATTGCCGGAGGCAGCGGCGGACAGCAGCACCGGTGAATGGATTGCAAGAGGAAGAAATTTTATTAAATATATTATTTTTATTGATATTATTTTTAAAAAGTGTTTTTGACCTTAACTGATATTATTTTTAAACAGTGTTTTTTACCTTAACTGATATTATTTTTAAAAAGTTAACCCATTTTTAAAATTTTATTAAATATATTATTTTTATTGATATTAAGGGCCAAAAATTGCCCTTAACTGCTATAATCCCTTTTTTTTCTTGTTCTTTCTTATTTTAGATTTATTGACATTTTTCTTTCTTGTAGTCTGTCAAATTCGAATCCAGTTGACTTAAAAAAAAAACGAATTCAGTTGTTAATTATGAATTCGATATTTAGTTGGAATCCAGTTATTCGAATTCGAATAAAGATTCATTGGATTCGATTTCTTTCCGATTACAGGACTGTGGCTACTGCAGTGGCAAACGGCAAACCGTTGCCTCCCACCCAGTCCCATAAGCTGCCCCCACTATCCCACATCCCTCTCTCCTCAAAATAACTAACTTCCAACTAAGCCCACTTCGCCTTCTGTAAGCGACTAAGTACCGTCAAACTCCCTTCTTATATATATTCTGAGATCGAATTTCAAACAACCCCAGATCGTCCAAACCAATCCCAATCCCTTCCTCCTCCCGCTCTGCTGATCTTCATTTCCGAGCTTCTGTTTTTCTCCTCCCTGAGAACCTTTAAATATAGTTTCCCTAAAGCTTACAGTGGCTTCTCTCGCCATGAGGGTTTGTCTTCTTCTCCTGGTCATTCTCTCTTCTCTTCATTACTTCTCTGTGTCTTCTTTCGAGTTTGAGGTGGGTGACACCAAAGGTTGGATTGTTCCCTCCACTAACGACACCAAAATGTACAATGAGTGGGCATCCAAGAACAGGTTTCAGATTGGCGATGCCATCCGTAAGAACATTACATTTCTTTCTACTATACTCAAGCTATTTGCTGCTTCTCTTACTGATGCCTGCCTTGCCTTTTATTTTCTTCTAATTCATTTTCGTTTGTTTCGAGCTCTATGATTCAGGCTTCAAGTACAAGAAAGATTCAGTCATGGCGGTGAGTGATTCAGATTACAAACGGTGTAATTCAACTTATCCCATCTTCTTCTCCAACAACGGGAACACGTTATACAGGTTGGACCATTCAGGGTTGTTTTATTTCATTAGTGGAGCATCGGGACACTGCGAGAGAGGACAAAAGATGATCATCAAGGTGATGTCGCCTGAAGATTCTGAAGGAAGAGATGAACCCAATAGTTCCGACGTTGCAGCTCCAGTAGCCGGGGCATCTACATTAGTCATTCTTCAGCTTGTTCTGTCATTTCTTGGGTTCCATCTCCTTTAGTTTATTTTGTTGGTCGGTCTCATTGTTGTTTAGTTTAGTTCGTTAGGGGTCTCTGCAATATAAAGTTCTTTTTGCCTTTTCATTTCTTATTCCTCATTAATGCAGTGTAGCGTGTAGGGTTTGACAGTAGCAGTTAAAGTCGTTATATGGGTTGTTATATTTCACAGTTGAAGGAGTACAATAATGTATTTTGTTTTCTACTAATTAAGGCTTTGTTTGGTTTGGTTGCACATAAAATGAGGAAAGATGGATGATTCCCTGAAAACTGTCCTCCATTGTTGCACTTCTAATGACTGGGAAATTTACGTAATCTAACTCAAGTTCAGATTTTATTGAGCCTAGCTACAATTATCATTTTCGAACCCCGATTAAACACTTGAGACAGCTCATAGTCAACAATCATCACAAGTCACAACTGTACAAATAGTTGCTTCAAAAACACTCTTAATGTCAAGATGAGTGTCGTCTGGATGTGGATGTTTTTAGCCTTATAAGATGATTTCTTTTTCATTTATACAATCATTGGCTTTTCATATCCAGCACTATGCAAACAAGATATCAGCACTAGCTTTCCATGGTCATTTGGCCTCTTCTCCAAATCAGAATGGTGCTCTATGGATGTGTGGTTAAGACTCCACAAGTAGATCACCTTCTCAATCATTCACATGGCGTTGGAGATGTTGGGCCAATACTATCTGTTTCCCTCTCCCACTTTGTAGCTCTCATTTACTGACTTTGCTGTGGTATTGATACATCAACTACCTGTATAAGAATGGGAAACAGAATGTAGAGCCAGATCCCCACACCAAGAGTCATCTCAAAATGAATGTTTCATTCATTTCCAGGGATGTATGCAATGAATTTCAAGAATTTTCATGATTCAATTCCTTTCCCAAATCCAGATGCCTGATTCATATGATTTTTATATTTTGTTTGAGAGGTGGGTGGTGGGGAGGCCAGAGAGTTAGCCATCAAGAATGGCCCTTCCATGCTTGCTATGTTCTCTCTCCATGATTTTGTTTGTCCATTGCTATAATAGCCATTTCTGAGCAATGCTATATTCGTTGTTCTCAAAGGCCTTATATGTGCTCCACTGTTATCTTTGGTAGTAAATCCATGAAGCCAGTTCACAAGGTCACGCTTCTTTTCATGGGGCCCTTCCATAGGAAATCACTTTACTTTTTTTTTCCTCTCTCTAAGGCGGTGGTCATTGAACATAGTGTGTTAATGTAATATATATATATATATAATATTTCTTCCTTCCATCCAGATTTCAGCCAAACCTCTCAATCACTGGTTCTAAAAGAGCCTTTGATTTGTAACTTGTACCAGAGGGAGACCTAAGAAGTTGGCTGGTGATGACCTGCATTTGCAACCAAGAGCAACAGCATATCTGAATCCATCTTTGCCACTTCAACAAAAGCCCGTTTATTGCACCATAAACTCAAAAAATAAAAAAATAGAAGAAAAGAAAAATTCCCATCAGATATGGTTGTAAGCTCTTCCAGTATCCAATATGTAGATGACTACTGGCATGACTGTGAATTCTGAAATCTATACAATCATTTGCAACCAAAGACCCAGTCAAAATCTGCCTTCCATTGACAAAAACACCTTGTGAGGAAGATGTAATTGGGCCCAACACTCTCCATAAACAATTAATAAGGATCTTGGATGGCAGCTAGTAAATACTGTTCATGAACAATTAATTAGACCCAGTCAAAACCAGAACTCAATACAACTAAGCTCTGCCCAGATCTGCTTTAGGTAGACGGTCATCCATAGAGAGTTCTTAAATGGATGTTCACTAGAGGATTTTCAGTTCTCTTAAGAGAACAAACTTGGACAATTGTCTATCTTTGTAGCTTTCTTTGGAAGCATTTCCATTTACTTCAGGTCGGTGTGAGGTGCGCTTTGTGAGGAGCAGATCTGAACTCAACATTGAAGGCCGTGGTCTGTCGATGATCCAAATTGGTCTCTTTTGAAATTAGAATTGTGCAAAGCCAGTGGTGAACCGTTGCCTCCGATCCCGGATTTGAATTTATTAGAGATATTCCCAATTCACAGCTGGAAGGGCTGTGAAGATGATTCTGTGAGGACCAAATCCGAATTCGTTGCCTCCCATACAGTTCCAAGCAGGGACCTACTACCCCTACATCACTCTCCAGTCTCCTCAAAATATTTGACTTCCAACTAAAGCCACACTTCACCTGTTGTATGTCAAACTCCTTGTTAATCACTGGATGGGTTGGGGGCAGAAAATTTTGGTGATTGGGGACTGGGATATATATATATATATAGTTAATTACATTATGTAATATAATATAATTTTCGGTATGTTTCAAAAATAACCGAGTGGTGGCTCGGTTGATACGTAAATTAGTCCTAGAATAGATGCGGTTTTGAGCCCTGCTATCGGCTCCCATCACCACTTGGAGAAGAGTTATTAAATGATTGCTGAAAAAGTGTTGTACTATGCCAAGAATATGCGAGCAAAAAAAAAAGGTAGGTTTCAAAAATAAAATAAATTTGCTGCATGTAAGAATGAGTAATCAGGGTAAATTTGGGTCCCATTGGGGCATGCCAAACCCAGCCCCGCCCCGTTGTCATTCTCATTCCTTCTCCCGCTCTACCAATCTTCATTTCTGAACTTCTGTTTTTCCTCCCAAGAACCTTTAAAATTTTGATACAGTTTCCCTAAAGCTTACAGTGGCTTCTCTCATCATGAGGTCTTCCAAAGTTTGTCTTCTCTCCTGGTCATTCTCTCTTCTCTTCACCACTTTCTCTGTACCTTCTTTCGAGTTTGAAGTCGGTGACACCTAAGTGAACATTATATTTCTTTGATTATAGTATACTCTAGCTGTTTTCTGCTCTTTCTTTTCTTTTAATTCATTACCGTTTACTTCGAGTTCTATAGTTCAGGTTTCAAGTACACGAAAGATTCAGTTATGGTTGCGAGTGATTCAGATTACAAACGGTGTAATTCCTCTTATCCCATTTTCTTCTCCACACTGGGAACACGTTATATAGGTTGGACCATTCAGGGCTGTTTTATTTCACAAGTGGAGTATCAGGACACTGCGGGAGAGGACAGACGATAATCATCAAGGTGATGTCGCCTGAAGAATCTAAAGTGTCCGGCATTGCAGTTCCGGTAACCGGGGTTTCTGCATTTGTCATTCTTCAGCTTGCTCTGTTCCATCTCCGTTTTTTTTTTTTTGGTAAATGCTCTGTTCCATCTCCTTTAGTTTATTATGTTGGTCGGTCTCATTGTTAATTTGGTTCGTTAGGGGTCTTTGCAATATAAAGTTTTTTCCTTTTTCATTCTCCTTATTAGAGTACTTGGGCTGGATGCTCTTGTAGGGTTTGGCAGTGGTAGTTAAAGTCGTTACATGGGTTGTTATATTTCACAGTTGAAGGAATATAATAATGTATTATTTTCTACAAATTAAGGTTCTGTTTGGTTGTAATTGTCCTCCATTAGTGACTGGGAAGTCTACATAATCTATCTCAAGTTCAGAATTTATTGAGCCTGCCTAGCTACAATTAGCATTTTTTAACCGATCAAACACTTGAGACAGTTTATGATCAACGATCATCGTCGGAGCTTAAAAGTAACTCCTCACAAGTCACAGCGTCCAAATTTTCTGCCCATGTGATGGGACCCATTGAATCGATTCGAAGGTCAACTGACTAATCAGTGATCGGATCGGCTGCCCACATTACGCGCCCCATAGCCCATCTCCTCTGTACTGGGAACATCTCCCGTCCTTGTCATGGGGAGATATTCCCAATGCACGGAGGGGATGGGCTGTGGGGCGCATTATGTGGGCAGCTGATCCCATCTTGACTAATCATCCTAATATATAATAAATACTAGCGGAGACCCATGCTATGCATAGGATTTATTGAGCCAAAGGTAAATAATAGGAAGCGTTATTTATTAAAATACCTTTTATAGTTTCATGAATTTACTAAAATCTATCCTATATTTAGCATTTTACTAAAACACCACTTATAATTTACAATGAATTTAATCAATCTTCTATTAAATGACAGTGTTGACCCTAATGTTCATTTAAATAAATTTAATCAAAAGAAAATAAAAATAAAAATATCATTTTTGCCCTTAATAAGACACAGGCAACCATTCTATTGGCTATATTTGGTCAATTTTGTTTTCTATGCAAAAAAAAAAGTTTTAATGGTATTTTTGGAATGAAAATTTATGGGCCTAATGGCCAAACAAACACTCATTGATGAAATGTTGATTAAGTAAATAAGTTGTAAAATATATGGGATGTTTTAGTAAAATGAAAACTGATGTAACCGTTTCTGGTCACATATCATTTTATTTTTTGGCTAAGTACCCCGTCTGAACCCAGGTGGTTGATGACTCAGAGGTTGAAGTGGAGCTCCCTGGTGTAGTGCAACCTGGCTGCTCCCTACAGGAGATGATCTGCTCATTTTTGTAGATAGCGGGAATTGAACCGACTACTCCCTGCTGGAGATGATATGCTCATCTTTGTAGGTGGCAGAAACTGAGGGACCTGCATGAGTTGAATCAGAGAACCCGGGGGTGTTTACCCAACGAGGTCACTTCGATGGCTAAGTCAACACTTAGTCGTGAGCTGAGAATGATATTAGAGAATGAGAGAACTAGAGAGTAAGGGCTAAGTCAGCACTTAGCCGTTAGATTGCTTTGATCTCAACCGTTATATTGCATTGTAATTCTTAAAATTAAATTAAATTTTTAAGTTTAAATCATTTGAACCGACTGACCAAACAAAAAAACCGACCCAAACCGATACAACTTGAGTGAGTCGGTTTTCACAAAAGGTCTGTCGGTTTCAGCTGACCAACTCCCTAACCTGACCAGGTCAATTTGGTTGGCCAAATAGCCTACGACTGAACTGAACCAACTCATGAACAATCATAATTTCAACTAAATTAATAGTCTCATCAATGATAAATAACAATAGTTTAATCTCCAATAATTATTAAAAGTTTATAGCAAAAATACACAATTATTGAAAATATATTGATAACGAAAAATACAATAAGTACAGAAATTACAAAAATACAATAAGTACTAAAAGTATATTAACTTAGTCAATAAATAGTATAATCTCTAATAATTATTAATCAATAACTTATAACAAAAATACAATAAGTACAATAAATTAAATTTAAAAATTTCAATAATAGTAATTTAATCTCCAATAATTATTGAAAGTTTTCTGTTAAATAACAAAACAAAATAAATTTATACATAATCATTGAAAATACATTTATCACAAAAAACAACAAATAATTACTTAAATACAATAACTATTAATTTTAGTATATATAATTATATAAATACAGATTAAGAGTTTAAAATTATTATTAAAAAATATTATTTTTGAAAGTTATTTTCTTGAATTATTACTTGATATAAGTGGAGTTAATTATTTACAATATTATTTAGAAATATTAAATTATTATTAATTTTAATATTATGTTATAATTATTTTTCTACTTTTTAGAATTTTTTAAATTTATTACATAATTTCTTTATTTTAACTATTTAAAATCTAGTTATGTTAAATATTTAGTTATATAAATACTTAAATAATATGTTAAATATTTAAAATTTAAAATATTAATTATTTATTGAATTTAATTATCCATAAAATCATAATTTATACTATTATTGCATAATTTCATTATTAATTTTGTAATATATTAAGTTATTATTAATTTCAATATATGTTATAATTAATTTTTTACTTTGAAGAATTTTTTTAAATTTATTACATAATTTCGTTATTTTAACTATTTAAAATCTAGTTGTGATAAATATTTTTTTATTTGAATTTTATTTATTTAAAACTATTACATATTATTAAATATTTGAAAAACATTTAAATTGATAATCCAAGAAAACATAATTTAAATTATTAGTACATAATTTTGTGATATATTTTGTAAAAATATAAAATTATTTTTTATGTTTTTAATAAATATTTTAAAGTTATTACATAATTTTGTTAGAATATTTAAATAATTCTTGATTTTTTTAATCTAAACTTTTTTAGATAGATATAGATAAGAAATAGGAGAGAGAATAAATAGGAATTAGAGATAATTTTGGAGAAAGTGGGGGATAGTGGGAGAGGTAGTTTAAGAGAAATTTTAGGAGAAGAGATTATTTAGGTTATTGGAAAAGTGCATATCATTGGTTGTCTTGAAAATGGAATGAAAAAATAAAAAATTCAAAAAAAGAGAAAATTTGTTGAGGCTTTATTTTAATATATATATATATATAGCCTTTGCGGTTTGTTTGCATAGAGTATAAAAGTATTTTATAAAAGTTTATCCAAACAGCGCCTAAATTTTGCTATGGAAATCAACTTTTTGCAACCAAACACATTCCCTGTCCTTTTGTTGAGGGCTGCAGGCCGAACCAATGTTCTTCCGAACTTGTCCCAGTCACAGAGTCTTTCTAGCAGCCTGGGAGGGGATCGTTCCCAAGCTCACGTTTTACAATGTGAAGTCGAAATAGAACAGGGTTCGTACTTCATATGTACTAGTGTACAACGCCGATAATCGAGGTGCAGACAACGGCTAAGTTCGTTACCTGAGCTGAGAATGAAGCGATTCTTCAAACCAGTTGAGAAGGATGGGTCGTTTAAGAAGCCTGCTCTTTCTCCTTCTCCAACGACTGCAGTAACAAGGGAACAAAAAGATGAGAAGGACGGAGAAAAAGCAGACGAGAGGAAAGAACCTTTGAAGTTCTTGACATGGAATGCTAACAGCTTGCTTCTTCGCGTTAAGAATAACTGGTCCGAGTTCAAGAAGTTCGTCGAAACCATCGATCCTGACGTCATTGCACTACAGGTGATTTTGCTTCTCCAACGAAGTCTCTTCTTTGTTTTCGACTCCTGTTTTACTAGAAATCTATAGAGCGTTATGTGTTTCATCTGAAGCGCGTTTCTATAATCTTGGGCTTTGTACCGGAACCTAGATATTTATTGTCAGAACTCTGATGGGTTTCCCTGGCGTGAGACTTCAAAAAGGGATTTTGGATGATGGTTTGGTTTTGCGCTTGTTTTTGTTGATTGGGTTCTCCCACTTGTTCGTAATTAGGAAGCCATTAGCGATATTTGACTTTAAGAGTGTTCTGAAGTCGTTTTGTTGGAAATCTAATAGCTACTGTTGAATGCGTGTCGTCTGAAGTTGGTGTTTTATCATCCTGGGTTTTTAACTTGAATGTGGATGTTCTGGGTTATGATGGGTTCCTCTGTGTCGCCTGAAAGTGGATGCTTTTAGCCTTGTCAGACGATTTCTTTCTTTCTTTTTTTTTTTTTTGATGAGTATCAGATGATTTTTTTTTTCCATTTATATAATCATTAGCTTTTCATATCCAGCATTATGCAAACAAGGTATCAGCTGAAGCTCTTAGGGTTGTGTGGAATGACTGAGAAACGGCCATTAGGATCCACTTTGCATGGGCATTTGGTGGTTTATACTCCACAAGTAGACCAGCTTCTCAATCATTCACATGGTGGTGGAGATGTTGAGACAATACTATTTGTTCCCTCTCCCACTTTGTATCTCTCATTTACTGACTTACTGTGGTATTGATACTTCAGCTACCTGTATAAGATTGGGAAAAACGAATATATAGTCAGATGACTCAGATCTCCATACCAAGAGTCATGTCAAAATGAATGTTTCATTCATCTCCAGGGCTGTATGCAATGATGCAATGAATTGCTTGAGTACTAGGAGTTTTCATGATTCCCTTCCAGATCCAGAATCCAGATACCTGATCCATATGATTTTTTTTTTGTTGTGTGGGGGGGCGGGGGCGTGGGGGAGACCAGAGAGTTATCCATCAAGAGTGGCCCTTCCATGCTTGTCGTGATCTCTTTCCATGATTTTGGTGGTCCATTGCTATATCTCGATAACCATTTCTGAGCAACGCCATATTCATTGTTCTCAAAGGCCTTAAATGTGCTCCACCGTTATCCTTGGTAGTCAAAGCCTAAGACCAGTTCACAAAGTCATACTTCTTCTCTTCATACTTCATAGGGCCCTCCCATAGGAAATTACTTTCCTTTTTGTTTCTCTCCAAGGTGGTTGCTATTGAAGCTAGCATAGTGAAGGGTGGAAGGTAATAAACTGGTGGATTTGAAGGAGCACTTTTAATTAGAGCTAACATAATCCTTTTTAAATAGATAATATTTCTTCCTTCCAGATTTCAGCCAAATCTCTCAATCAATGGTTTCGAAGAGCCTTTGATTTGTGACTTGCACCAAGGGGAGGCCTAAGAAGTTGGCTGGTAATGACCTGCGTTTACAGCCAAGACCTATAGCATATCCGAATCCATCTTTTCCACTTCAAACCAAAGCCCAATTATTGCAACATATATACTCAAAAAAAAAAAAAAAACTTCTGCTGGACATGACATGACTTTGTGAATTCTGAAATCTATACAATCATTTGCAATCAAAGACTCAATCATAATCTGCCTTCCATTGACAAAAACACCTTGTGATTAAGATATTTGGGCCCGGCACTCCACCATAAACATTAAACAATTAATAAGGATCTTGAATGCTAGCTTGTTAATACTGTTCATGAAACTAATGGGTCTGAAATCCTTGATCTCAATCTCGTACTGAAACTTTCATATAAATTCTATGAACGTTGAATCAGCACTATGGGATCTGCATTTGCATGAATAGCTGCCAACAGTTGCATGACATCTCCTGATCTTTTCCAATACCGTTCCAACATCTGCTACAGAAGGAAATTGAAAAGCCATTTGGTTTCGGGGCTTTCTCCATTCATTCCTTGCCAAAGGGCCTCTCAATCCAGTCACATACTTACATTCCACCATCAAGATATGAACAGAATCAATATCAATTCCATCTAGCTTAGGCCAAAATTGTGATTGGCTTGATTGTAAGTTTCTATAAAAATTAACAATTGCTAATTGTATGTCAAGACTGTTGGAACAGACCAACAGAAGGCAGTTAGTCAGTTTTACAAGAGGAGGCCACATCAGCTCAACTA